TGCGGTAATTGTTTATTGCTAAAGTGGCTTACATTAGGTGTGTTCGTCCATACTTTGGAGGCGTCCGCTCATCCGCGTGATCTCCATGGAGTGTTCCCCAACTGGTGCTTGCCTCTGTGTTCCCTCCTCGTGCGCATGGAACTGTAATCCTGATGTCGTCTTCAACTTTGGGGAAGTCGGCAGGGCTCGCTGTTGGTGTGTCACCTTACACCACCACACTACTTATACCCGGCGCAGTAGTATCTACCTTTAATCCACCACAAACCAACAACAGCAGTACATCAGGCATCTGAACCAATGGTTCATTGCCATACAACCACGATGACCTATGGAATGTAACGTAATAACAAGGACAGAAGGGGGATTTACCTGAAAACCTTAATGCTCTAAGCAAACATTTATGGTCAAGGCGCCTACACCTAGTGTAGACAACCTATCGTCACAAAAAGTTGGCTATCGTGCAATGATAAGGCGGCATCGGCGAAACAGCTTCCTTTCGGCTTTCACTGGCCCGCATTATAATAAGCCATTACCCCGCAGATAACTCAGCAACAAACACACTTTAAACAGGCAATCCGACTAGGAGACGGAGTAATGGTGTCGGTTTCGAGCTATGTCCTGTGAAATCTCGAGCCAAGCATAAGGCAAGTCACGTGGACTCCATCCCAGAAGACGATACGGACCAACGGCACCCAGTTTGATAGTCAGTCACTTCATTTCCCGCTGCCAAGTCAACTTCTGTCTACCTCCAGCATCGCGCCACTCTACACCTGGCAGACTAAACAAGACCCCTCTAGGTAAGCGGTAAGCAGGCAAACGTAACACGTGCCCGAGCAAACGCAAATTATTCAGTGCTATATGTTGTTCAGACAGCCACTCAACGATGAAACACTATCCACCTTAACTGCAGAAGTGGAGCACTTTATTAACCGCAGTGCTCTTACAACCTTGACGACGGAACCTTGTTAGCAATCAGTTCCAACGCGGAACGATTGGTTATCACTTAGACCGAATGACAGCGTTAGAGGTAGCGACACTTTGTGACAGTCAAACTTTTCCGCACTATTTCAGGAAAGGTGGAGCAAATAACACCTCACTGGAATACATACGAGACAATAATGGTTTAAACTATGACGCAGCTGGAGACGTGATCCTAGTCCTCCAGCATACATTTCATCGTGATAGTTGATCTTTAGTGTTGATAGAGTTTTGCACAATATCCAAGGACGGACTAGTGAGAACTGCAGTGGTTGGAATGAAGGCAGAGGTGTCTGAGCGCGATGCTGGAAAGTTCTGCCAGATAGAAGGTAGCGAATGGGAGGAGAGGTCACTCCCGGTTGTTGGCCCTCCGCACGTAGGAGGTAGGTTTTGAATCCACCGTCCCAGCGAGGACCACTGAGGGTTCAACAGACCGGCGTGAAGAGGTTCATGTGTACCGTAGTAAGTTCTGTGCTTCCGTATAGCGAATGGAGCAGATTAAGTTGAAACTTTACGCATCAAAATCCATAAGATGAAATTTCGTTCGAAATTCGGTCTGGAATATTGAAGAATCCGGAATGGTGCATCCTATGATACGTTCCCTTCCGTTCAGTGATCCAATGGCTGTGGTTCACACTACCATTTTTCCAAACCTAGTTCTTGTCCCAACCCAAATTTGGTGTGTTGTGGCCCCCAGTCCAGATTCCGCGATACGATGCTAGCTTAATTCCGTGTTCCTTTTTCACTTTGATAATTAGCCACATCGCCTTCAGTTGCGCAAATGCCGATCTGATTTGCACTTCCGAACAGACTTCATTATCACTTCACATATTAACGCCGGATGTGTTGTCAGTGGTAAGGAGTGGTTCTTTCTCAGTCTGGACCCTGACGTATCCATTGCGGCTCACATTAGTTCACGTTGCAGTGGTGATCTCACAAGTGTACAAGGATTATTTGGGTGGAGATCACATACATGATAACCATTTGATTCGTGTGGCTTAGTGCTTTGGTCCTAAACCACTCACCATATCGTCACTTTGTGTGCAACCCAGAGATTCTCAGCGCCCATGCCTCAGAGCAGCTTCCCTTTGAATTGGTCAGTTCATTGGTCCTGTATAAGTCAGTGCATTGATATGATAGTTTGTTGTACCTGTGACTAGAAGCTGTACTCGTTTGCTATTTTGAATGGAATTGAATTTGTTGACACCCTTGTTGCGGGGCGCACAGATTGTTGTGACATTGAACATTTGTTGTTTCTAATTGTTTTCAAAAATTATCGACAATTTTTCGTTGCCTTCAATGGAAATAGGTTTGTTCATAGCTTCCAAGCTGTTTAACGCTTATAAGAGATATGACTAAATCTGTGGGATATCTGGCTACTTCCTGGGTCGGAGAACCGGTGTCAATCAGAATAGGCCGAATGGGAACCTTAGGCTTATGTATCTTCTAATATCGACAAACACTCGAAGGAGGTGTTGATTCCGTGTATATGTGGCACAATTCACTTGACCTTAGACAGTCCTTCACACTCCTCAGATAGTTGCTAACCGTCATTTTATTCCTATTCATTACCGACCATACAGTTTTTCCCTATCCTTTCTACGTTTATTTTGCTAAATGATCCACCAGTTTTTCAAGTACTTCGACTTATTCATTATCAGTATGTTCGTACCTTTGTCGGCTTTTGTGATGATGATTGGAGGGTCTTCTCCTAAGGTCATTCATGCAGTTTGAACGTTTGAAGATGCCACTTCCGAAAGATAGAACGATCAAAACGTCTACAATTTTAAGTGCAAAACTGTGTGCACATGGACCTACACCACAAAGCAAGAGAACTGCACACATGAGTAGCAGAACAGAAGAGGCACGTTTCTTGTTCACCGAGAGACAAGCCTGAATACAAGGCCTTATTAAACAACTAGACGGTAAGAGTACACGCGCTAGACTCGGGACGCAAAATCAACTTGGACCAGATAGAAGTTATTAGGAGAGGAGTCTGTAAAAATCATCAAAGATTAATTGTTGAGACGTTAGGAATTACCAAGGCAGATAACTGCGCGAACAGAATAGACTGGGTGGAACTATTGAATACGTGGCGGGCTGTTTCAACCTGATCAGTCTGAACATCATAGGCGGGCAGACTCAGGTTGGAGCGAAAAAGTCATTATCAGAATCAATAGCAATAAAAAGAGTAGTGCCTTCTATGCTTATGCCCTGTGACACGGATACATCGAGTAGGTTCTATTCACATTGTACCACCGGAATGAGCCCGTGAAACTTCAAAACTGTAACTCCAAGCCTCCGTTAACCTGTGTGATGGTAAGATACTACACTTAGCTATCGGTCGAGCTTAACAATTTTGGGCAAACAGTCTGAAAGCTGATCGATCGCTGCAGAGACGAACTGAAGGATACCATGCAATTGATTTGGATCGACATTGAATGAAACTCGAATGCTGGTCAAGAATGTATTAGGAAGGAGATTCGTTCTGCATCTGTGACTGATTCTAATTGACTCGAGATATCAAATGAGTTTGCATTCTATGAATAATGAATTTTTGATCGACGCCAAGACTTTGACTTTTTGATGCACGGAAGGTCACTTGATAACCCGGGTTATTTCTCGCAGTCACTATCCGGAGTTGTTTTACGAAGCCAAGCCCCTTATACATTAGTTCACTTGGCCTGAAGAAACCCTCCATCCTCTTATTTTCATCAATTATTACTATTAGAATTCAACTGTACGAGTCTATTCTAGTTTATCAACCTTGGAATTCTATCCCGAACTCAGTTGTCACTTCTTCCACCTTTGATATTTTCAGAGAACTAACGATTGGATGTTGTCGTCGGCTCGCGACAGTTCGTTACCTAAGCTGTGCTACCTTGGAATATATTCATCATGCCAGCACACCGAATTTATGTGTAATATAGACTTAAATAGGCGGTACGCGGAACATGTCAAATCGAATTGCCCGAACGTGGTCTTGTAGGCATGCTTTCAATGCTCCTTTCACACTACCTTTATTCAGCAACGCATTCTCTAGAAAGACGATTAAACAGATGACTCACTTTTTAATATTGTGGCTTTCACCTTAGCCCTCCAATGGGATTTGTCAAACATCTGCTTTTTTGTCCATGAAAAATGATTGCTCAGCGTTTGATCCCCCAGAATTCTGGTAGGGTGTTGAAGCTTGGTCTTTATGGAGTAAACAGTTCATTGCCTGGGAGGTAATCTTTTTAATATTGGTGTGTAAATCCTTACAAATTCAGTTTTCCCCAACCGTGGACTACCGTTGTGGCTTTGTTTAATGTTCACCCGCCTTACCAACTGGTTCAAAATGGTCGTTTGCCTAAATGTTCTTAATGGGCGTGGGTGACGTCGGCGCTTCAGCCAAGCTGTGGCAGAGGCTGTTCGCCCCCTCACAAATACTGACTTCAGGAGCTGAATTCAGTACGCCACAGAGCGCCTTAATAAACCCATCGGATGGTATACACTGAAAATACGGTGACTTCTTAGCCAGCTGCTAGGCTTGAGTCCCACGTGAATGAGTGCAATGTATCTCGTCGTTGACATGATCGGGATATAAGTAAGCCCTGATAACTGGCTGTGGAACACTAGTCATCACAGATATATTCGGAAGGAAATCGTTACTGATACCTCCGATTACACTTAGCCAAAGTATGATTGTCAAAGTAGGCAGATGCTCCGCGCAAACCATCTAACGAGGTGAAATTTTGTTTGATGTTGCACGGTTTTGTCTATGACCACAGTTTGTTAAGATTCTGCATTAGTTGTATGTGCTGACCTTAATGTATTTCAGCTACTCGTTTTTCCAGTGCTAAGAAACTAAGATCGTTGCAGAAAATTTCTTGCTGAATCCGCTATCCAATCACTAGTTTCCAACTCACATGGGCTCAGCTATGGTTAGACGCGGACACACATGTGAAACTTAAATCGAATAGCTTGACTGCCGAATATAGAAAAAGCCATATGAGTAACTCTAAAGGTATGCGTGAACTTACTTGAATGGACAAAACGTCGGCTAACACACTCTCACGGCGGTACCCCCATGAGCTCCTGTCCAACGTAAGACAATTTTCCCATTTATGTTCAACCAATCTGCCTGGACGATAGTGATCTTGACAGGTGTAAAAATCCCCGTGCTTACACATACAGCCATCACCCCATCGATCGTTTGTGACCACAGTGTCTTTCACCGGTGAATCATTATATAACCAGGCGATAAATTCAGTGGAGCCCCAATACACATCCGGGCCAACGTCACCATCGGACCAGAGTATTTCGGGCTTGTACCGCATTATCAAATCTTTCATTTCTGGTATGACTTTCGCATTCACATATTCCTGTAAAATAAGTCAGGCATGGTAAAGATGACAGCAAGATTCTAACAACAGACGATAGCAACAAGCAAGACTACTGTTAATAAAACGAACATACATGAATTCTTTACGCGGGAACTAAACGAGTTTGCCCCTAACATATGCATTACAGGCTATCAACCAGTATTGCTTTTAAAATATTTTGCACTACAAAAATCCTCGTGGCGTACACTCCATGATGCAACTAAAAAGTGGCACTTATTAGTCACCTTGGATAGTTCTGAAGAGAAGAAGCCTCGTAAACGGATGATTGCTAACGCCAAATCAGCTGAAAAATTCGGCGATGCAGAAAGTAATGCGAGAAATTCGAAGAAAGAGAAGCACTCGGTTAAGCACATTAGAGAAGGTGGGGGGGGAGTCATAATTGGAATGGGCACAGTGATCTCTGCGCGCTAAAGTGCAAATATCACCACACATGGACTGCCAAACGCAACCTGTCATCAAGTAGAAAATATTTTGATTGGGATAGATAGAGAAGTAAGACAGAAACGGGTAACTATGAGACTGTACGGGCAGATAAAAAGTACAACCGGTCTATTCTAAACAGCAAAGGTGGGAGCGAAACGGAATAAGGACTTTAAGACCATCGCGTTTGAGGTCATATCTCGGAATGTGTTTCCTCTCAATGGGCTAAACAGCCACATAGACTCGAAAGGAATTGTCAATGCTAAAAGCATGTCCAAATAAACTGAGTCAAGCCGGCGACAAGAAAGGGACTTTGGTACTATGTGAAGTAAACATCTCACAAATCACAACTGGTCGGTGATGACGGGTTAGAAATCGTAAGACAAGATAGCAACTAAAGCGCTGCATATTTAATTTGACGAAAATTATGGTCCAAACGAAGTTAGTGAAAACGTTGACTTAACAGTAATCCTGCATAGATTTTTGCCCTCACAATCGCACCCAGTCGAACTTCATTTGAATGATATGGAGCCACAGTAAAGCTGATTAAATCGACCAGTTCATGAATGATTTTGTAAAGTGGCCTTAGTCAGTAGCCCAGCAGCAAAAGCATTGGGCGGAAAACCGCATACTTACCCTGGTGGAGAAGTTGCTCCCTTTGTCTCGGATATAGAGGGGATTGAACCACTCAAAGAGCGAATGATACAATCCAAAGTGAAGTTCCGAGCCGTTCCGAATCGCGTCGGCAAGAGCACCCACCAAGTCTCTTTGGGGACCTAAGTTGACTGAATTCCACTGCCAAGAAGTTTCTGAAGGCCAGTTACAGAAGCCTTCATGATGCTTTGCGGTGAATACCACGTACTTGGCACCCGAATCGACGAACAGCGAGACCCACTGCTCAGGGTTAAAGAACTCCGCCCGGAATTCACTTGCGAAGTCGGCGTACGCAAAGTTGGGCGCATATTGCGTCTTCATGTATTCCGGCACATTTGGTCTTCTGGCCGTATCTCCTTTCCACAGCCACCAGAACCACTCCGATCTAGAGAATAGCACGGGACATGAACTTATCGAGTATAAGCAATATGAACAACGATGGGATCAGCCATTATGTTACTGTGTACTGAGAGAAAAATTAGATGTTTCGCTAAAGGTACTAGTTCGCTGACTGACAGGTGCAGCAATACACCGGAGATGTCATGACTAAACTATGGATAATGATCAGAAAAATATCCTTCATTTGCTGATCTTGAGGATCACGCCAGTAACGGAAGCAAAAACACCACAAACTTTTAAAATTGACTTATGATCTTCTCTTGCTCATCAGTATTTTTGTGTTTCTACACACCCATCCGAGTCTTGAAGCATACTTGTCTCAATATACATTGAGAATTATTGCAGAGGAATCGTTGGGGTACCGATACCTCGTTTTGTCTGCAGTATGATGCCATCAGTGACATTCATTCCTGGATCTACTATTCACCGTGACTGTAAAATGCCGAGAGACGCTGGCACGCACGGTGTATCCATGGTTGTCGTGCTCCATGTCACGTTACCTCACACTGTTCAACCCAGACTCTAAGGAAAAATGCTACGGAGTTTTCGACTTGCAAGCACTGTTACTTCTAAACTAGTCCGCACTACCATTATGTACCATGCTCATTTATACTCAAATCTGTGCAAAGGTCCTACACGGATCACGGAGGTAGTTACACGCGTTTCATGGGTGTTTGACCAACATAGAAGCATTACGTGCCGGTCACTGACTGATGTAATATGGAAAGAGCTGCGTACCAGATCTACACACATTGGTGGCCCTATCTCAACAGGTCGAGTAACTGAATATTACAGTGAGCCTATGATGGTCATGAAAACTGCAAACTCTAGGTAAACAAATCGTTTAACGCCGCACGCTGAACTTCCGGTGTCACACTTCCAACAATCGAAGGTGTGCGCTGGCATTTTTATTTGCTATTTGTGTACACACGCCAACAAACAATGCTGTTTTTACGCAACTCGGTCGATTTACTCATACTATTGGCGATGTAGCGTCACCCTGTTTCGGAAACGTCCGCGCTCATTGATTTCACAATGTGTTTGCGATACTGGCCTACCTAAGAACCACTACAGGGACTCCGATCAGATGTATGCTGACCAGTTAGTCTTGAGCGACCGTTTACCGGCACATCCGAAGCGAAATTGTTGCAATACAACTAAGCGCAAAATGGGAGTGCTTTAGCAAGCACATCGGTAGATTGATCTTACCATGCAATCGGCCTCGTTTGTAACAGTGATAGGGGTTGCAGGACCAACATCAATCATACTACCGAACCGTTAGCTTTTCATAGTAGATGTTGGCGGCCGTCATGTAGTATACCCTGCTGTTCACTCGCCCTTCCAATCCATCTGGGCGCGGTTGACTGCTGGCAATTCGGTGCGATTTGGTCAACCTTTGGCGGATCTACACTGCTAGTGCTTAGGGCTACTTGTTGACGTGTGCACGGTTCATAGCTAAATAAGTACTAAGAATTAATGTCCTTCGCAAAAATGCACATTGCACCGGAAGATCCAGTTTCACACAAACTAGGACACTGTTTGCGTATGATATTGGTACCGCAGCTACTATTCACTGGACGTGCACTGTGCACACGTATGTTTGCTATAACAAGAGTAGCCGGAGAGAAAGGCCCCCTGTTATATTACGCTGACTTAAAACGTTGTGGACAAAAATGATCCATTGTGAAGTTATACTTGGTCTTCAGGTCATCCCCAATGCCAATTAGTTGCTTTAGATGGGCCTGTTGTTGATCAAAAACTGGCGACACAGCTGTAGGATCACAGGCTTTCATCATCATCATCCTCCTCCTCCTCCTCCTCATCATCATCATCATCATCATCATCAATCAACATCATCATCATCATCACCATCATCATCATCATCATCATCATCATCATCATCATCATCATCACCATCATCATCATCATCAGCATCATCATCATCATCATCATCATCATCATCATCATCATCATCATCATCATCATCATCATCATCATCATCATCATCATCATCATCATCATCATCATCATCATCATCATCATCATCATCATCATCATCATCATCATCATCATCATCATCTCATCATCATCATCATCATCATCATCATCATCATCACCATCATCATCATCATCACCATCATCATCATCATCACCTAGTAGTCTGTACACTACACTCGAGACTGTAGGCTACAGTCAACCAGCCATAGTGAACAACCCGGCAACGTACGCATCGGTTGCTGCCAAGCAAACACCGGAAGAGCACCGGTAACCCTTTGTGCCCGAACTAGAGAAAACAAAACTGACG